GTACCTCTGGGATTGCAGTGCAGCTTCTTGCCACTAGGCCACCAGAGCTCCTCGCAACATATTTTTTTAACAGCATATTCTTCCCATTTAATTTTTCCCATTCATTCATTCATTCATTGTTGTACATTTTCTTCCATGCCCACCCCTCCCCCCAGTTCACTTTTGTCTTTGAAAAGAAAAAAAATTCTTTCACTGTTCTACAATCCCCTCACCTGAACTCCACAGTCCACTTTACTATGTATTTATTTTTCTGGAATCTTCTCATGAAAATAATACCTAATCATATATTCCTTTTAAACAGTTCAATCCCTCATTTGTTTCAATGCGGTAAACTTTATTTATCCCATCTTTCTCAGTCTCCCTTCAACCCCGATGTCAGTCCCGTTTTACAACAGTGATACTATGTCCTTTTGTGACTGAGATATTTCACTCAGCATAATGTCCTCCAGGATGACCCATTTTGTATAATAGTTCATGAGTTCCTTGTTTTTCAATGCAGCATAGTATTGCATTGTGTGAATATACCACAGTTTCTCTAGCCATTCATTTGTGGATGGGCACTTGGGTTGTTTCCAACTCTTTGCTATTGTGAACAAGCAGCAATAAACATGGGTGTGCATATACCTGCTTGAGTGGCAGATTCCCAGTAGTAGAATTGCTGAGTCAACTAGTATTTCTATTTGCAACTTTTTGAGAAAGCGCCATACTGCCTTCTAGAGTGGTTGTACCATCATGAACCATCCTTATCATTCTGGACATATTTGAGCATCTTTTAAAAAAAATTTTAAAAATTATCTTTCATTCACATCCATTTTCTTTTCATGCTCCCTGTCTCTCCACCAAACTCTTCAACCCGTGCTTCTCTCTTCACCCTCAGCCCTGCTGTTCCCTCCCCTTCCCTCTTTGTATGTCCAGACACATCTCAATTGGTTATCCTGTTTATACAGTAATGGTCTTATACAGTATTTGTTCTTATGGGCCTGAGTTAGTTTCCTCAGCATAACGCTCTCGAGTCTCTTGAGTCTCTTACTCATCTCATTGTCTTCCTCTCCTTCATTGATGTTCCACCTTTTAAAGTATGATGTCCCTTTCCATGAGATACCCCCCTTCTAGCAACATGTGCAAAATAAGCTTCATCATCTGTGTCTCTAAGACCATTCAAATTGCATCTTTTCTGAGACATATCTTTTTGTTATTTTGACAGTCCATGGGATATTCAGTACTCTTTAAACACCACAACTCAAATGCATCAATTATTTTCCTATCATCTTTATTCATTGTATAGCTCTCTGATGCATAGCACATGACTGGAAAGACTGTGCCTTGAATGTGATGCTCCTTAGTCTTTAAACTGATATCATTGCTCTTTAAGGGCTTTGGAGAAATCCCTGACTGCAGGCTCCCCCAATACTATGTGTCAATCTCCCATCTCTTGACTGCTATTACCAAGGGTGTTGACTGTGGATCTCAGCAAGATGAAATTGTTGACTATTTCAATCTTTTCTCCATCTATGATGATTCTGCCTATTAGTCTAGTGGTGATTTTTGTTTTCTTAATGTTGACAGGAAATCCACATTGAAGTCCTTGATCCTCTGCAGCAAGTGCTTCAGGTCGTCCTCACTTTGAGCAAGGAAGGTTGTGTCATCTGCATAACACAGGTGGTTAATGAGCTTTCCTCCAATCCTGATGCCACATTCTCATAGAAAGTCAAGTTTCTAGAATTTGGTCAGCATACAGAATGAACAAGTATGGAGAGAGAATGCAACCCTGACACACCCTTTCCTGATTTTAAACCATGGACAGACAACAGCTTCATGGTCAAGGTATTGTTTTGTCCTGTATAGGCTTGTGGGAGCATTAACTGTGCTAGGGAGCAGCACCCAGATATGATAGGTAATGTTGTTATGTGCCGTCAAGCCGACGACTCATAGCGACCCTATGTACAATAGTTCTGAACCCTGCTCTGTCCTGAGCCAATCTGTCTTACACACCTACCCTCATTATTCTAGTTATTGTGTCAATCCATCTCATCCAGGGTCTTCTCCTGCGCTATCTCTTGACCCTTCCAAACATGATATGCTTTTCCAAGGACTGGTCCCTACTGGCCATGTGCCCAAAGTATGAGACGGAACTTCAAAATCCTTGTCTCCAAAGAGCAGCTTGGTTTCACCCTCTCTAGGGCAGACCTCAGTTCTCTTGGCAGTCCATTGTATATTCAGTACTCTTCTCCAGCACCACAACACCTCTTCTGTCATCCTTGGTCATTGTTCAGCTCTCTGAGGTATAGCAAGTAATCGCAAAAGACCATGGCCTAGATCAGGCGCACCCTCATTTCTCGACTGACATCCTTGTTCTTCAGTGCTCTGGAGAGGACCCTGCCATCAGATTTTCCCAATGCAATGTGTCTTTTGATTTCCTGACTGCTGGTGCCAAGAGTGTTGGTTATGGAACCAAGCAAGCTGAATTGTTAACAGTCTCCATCTTTTCTCCATCTATCATGATGATGCCAATTGGCCAAGTGGTAAGAATCTTTGTCTTTTTAATTGAGATTTTAATGAAAGTTTATAAAGAACTTGGATTTCCATTCACTCATTGTTGCACATTTTCCTCCCTGGCCCCCTCCACCCCAGTTCACTTTTTTTATTTGGAAAAAAAATTCTTCCATTGTTATACAGCCACCACCACCACCTTACTATGCAGCTCTTATTCTGGACTCTTGTCATGCCAAAAATACCTAATCATATATTCCTTTTATACAGTTCTCTCCCTCATCTGTTTCAATGCCATGTACGTTATTTATCCCCTATTTTGTTTCCCCCTAGCCCCCATGTCAGTCCTGTTTTATAACAGTGGCATTATGCAGTATTTGTCTTTTTGTGATTGAGATATTTCACTCAGCATAAAGTTCTCCATTGTCAGCCATTTTATATTTCATGAGTTCTTTGTTTTTCAGTGCTGCATAGTATTCCATCGTGTGAATATACTACAGCTTCTCTATCCATTCATTTGTTGATGGGCATTTGGGTTGTTTCCCAACTCTTTGCTATTGTGAATAAAGCAGCAATAAACATGGGTGTGCATGAGGATCTTTTGTCTTCTTGATGTTGAACTTCAATCCATACTGCAAAATATAGTCCTTGACCCTCTGCAGCAAATGCTTCGGGCCCTCCTTAGTTTCAGCAATAAGACTGTGTCATCTGCATAATGCAGATTGCTGAGTCTTCCTCTAATCCCAATGTCAGATTGTTCTTCATGAAGACCAGCCTCTTGAATGATCTGTTCTTCATATAGATTGAAAAGGTATGGAGACAGAACACATCCCTGACACACTCCTTTTCTGATTCTGAACCATGCACTGTTTCCTTGTTCTGTTCTGAGGACTGCATCCTGGTCTGAGAATAGGTTTTGCATAAGCACAATCAGGTGTTCTGGGATTCCCATTCTACTCAAGGTTAGCAACAATTTGTTGTGATCCACGCAGAGAAATGCCTTTACAAAGTCAATAAAACACAGATAGACATTCATCTGGTAATCTTGCTTTTGGCCAAGATCCATCTGATGTTGGCAATGATGTCTCTAGGGCCACGGCCTCTTTTAAACCCAGCTTGTATTTCTTGTAGTTCTCTGTCAATGTACAGTTCCAGTGGTTTCTGAATAATCTTTAGCAGGACTTTTTTTCCCTTCTTTAACAGGATTTTGCTTGCATGTGATATTAGTGATTTATTCTATAATGATCTTTATGTGCTTATTACCTTTTCTCATAAAGGGAGAGGTCTCACCTACTGCATCGTGTCCACAGCATGGTGGGTATACTCCATGGTGAGGCAAGAGAATGACAAGGCACTCTCCTGGTTAATGGGACTTGGGTTGAGCTGTGACTACAGCAGACAACCACCACTACCAGCACAGCTTCCTGAGAATCTCACTGGTGCTTCACAGGCACCAGAGATGGAAAGTTCTCCCTCACTGCTTCTCACCTCTGTAAGGATCTGTATTCTCACAATTATAGGGTGGCAGGTAGAAAACAGATTTATGATTTTATTCTGCTCATGTTCTTAGAAGACTGGTGATCTGGCTTTCCTTTTTCATAATCCCCTAAAAAAACAAGCATTCTATAGCTATGCATCTATTGAAAATTAAACCACTGACTCAGCATGACCACTTAAAGGTTGGCCAATAAATACTCAAAGACTCAATTTCTGATACTTTAAGATATAATTGTTTAATGCAAAAATAAATAACTATTTTTATGATCTGAGAGTGAACAATAGCAAAGACTAGAGATTACCAAAGAAACAATAGAAACAGACACTTTTGTAGGGGAGAAGAAAAGAATAGCAATTTGCATTGATATTAAGGACATCAGGAATTAATTTAACCAAAAGCGGTTAAATTATAGCCATTGATTATCATTTTAATACATTCGAGCCCAATTCACGTTTCTAGTTTCAGCAAAAAAACCCAAACAAAAACAAAAACAAAAAAACTCAACCAAAAACCATAACACAAAAATTCCAACCTATATCCCAGTTTGTGGCCTGTGTTAACCTTGACTTTGAGCACCTGAGAAATTGCTTCCTGCCTGTCCCTAGATTGTTCCATCTTCTGCTATCCTTATCCTCTGTATGTGAATACATCTAACAACTTCTACCATTAAAATCAAGGCCACAGATATGATTAAATCCATCCAGATGCTGATGGATGTTGTCTGGTAAAACATTTCAAGATAATTGTTTTAGTGGAAACAATTCCCAAAGTAAAAAAAACCCCAGGAATAACTTGTATTAAAAGCTACCCAAATAAACAGGGGTGGTGGCGGGGTGGGAGGGAGGAGACAGGGACTGTGCAAATAGTAAAGAGTTTGTGCAGAACTGGAAACAATAGAAATCCACACGGGCCAGAGGTGTGGGGTTAACTTCTCTTAGTGAGGCTCAGGTTTCCCCTCAATGGGTCTTTAATGGTCCACCCAAGTTCAAGTGGAACAGCGTCTTTCTTCTTACTAACCGAACATGCCCAGGTAAAGCTGCTTCTGTTTCTGATGGTAGCTGCTGAGTTCTGACTGTGTCATCTGGAGGTACCGCCGGACATTGGGGTCTTGAAAGAGGACAGAAAAGGCAATTAGAGACAAACAGACTCGAATCAGGCTTTGGGGAAGAAGGGAGTGCTAACCACACTCCCATGTTCTGGTGTGTGTCTAAGACTTGGCTGTCTCACCAGCTACTCTCTGCAGCAGTAAAGCTAATTCACACCACTGAATGTGTAGAATCTCTTCTACAAACATTAGGCTGATCAGGGGACATCTAGGTCAACTGACAAAGCATAATCCATAAACGCAATGTTTTACAGCTCACTTTGGTGAGTAACCACTGGGGTTTTAAAAAGCTTTTGAGCCTCATAGGGGAGCTCTGTTGGCTTAGTGGCAAGAAGCTGCACTGCAATCCCAGAGGTATGTGGTTCGAATCCAGCAGACCATCAACCTCCTCTTGTACCAGTCAGATCTGATTTGATGGTACACACACAAAAGGTAATAAAATTTAAAGCTTTTGAGCATCCATCTGCGATACATCTATTGGTCTCTTCCTGTCTGGACCATAGAAGAGTGGAGACAATCAGGACTCAAGGAAACAGTCTACAGGATGAATGGGCCACACCATCCACAGCCTCCACCGGTCTGAGCCCACAACGAGATGGTGCCCAGCTACCACTACCAAGTTCTCATCAAGATTACAACTAAAGGGCCTGGATAGCGTGGGAGAAAAATAACGAACCAAATTCAAAGTTATAAAAAAGCCTTGACTTACTGGGGTGGTAAGAGTCTGGCAGAACCCCCAAGTTGATGGCCCTCAGCCACTCTTCAAACCTAGACCTGAACTTACTTCCAGAGCCGGCTGGAAGGTCAGCTACGTGTCAGTACACCACCACCACAAACTTAACCCTGGTCTTTTCAACCGCTTCCTATGCATCTGAGAGCTTGACAATGAATAAGATGGCAAAGGAAGAAGTGATGCCCTGGGACTGTGATGCTGGAGAAGAGCACTGAATATCCTGACGGCCGAAAGCAAAACCAAGTCCGTCTCAGAGGAAGTGCGACCTGGGTGCTCCTTGGAGGCGAGGACGGTGAACCCTCATCTCACACACTCTGGGGATGTAGCAAGGAGTCCTTGGAAAAAGGTGTCATGCCCGGAGAGGAGGAGGGCCAGCAAGAGACGGCTTGCACGCGGCGACACAGGACGGGCAAGGTTCAGATGTGCTGTGCATAGCTCCCTCTTCTTTGCCTTGGAAGCAAAGTCCAAGCCTCAAATTCTTTCTGCACAAGCCTTTTTCTAGGTCAGACCCAGGGGTCAGACCCCAGCTACAGAGCTGGTACAGTGAGGACTATCAGATTTATTCACCGAGGTCCAGTTCCTCCTCCGGACATGTGTTTAAAAGGTAGGAACTGAACCTCGAAAAAGAACTCTTTAAAAGCCATTTCACAAAGTGAGAGAAATTATCTATGGAGATCTGAGGTGCAGCAGACTGGTTATCAAAACGGCTTCCCCAGTCACTGGCTTTGGCTTCTGCCACACGGCTGGGTACAGCTATGCTAAGAATGTGAAAGGGGTACCTGGCACCCTTGGGATGGGAACATGTAACCAAGGTGTGCAGATGAGGGGACTGGTCAGTTGTGCCAACCTGATGGGCTTAAACGGAGCAGGCTGAGAGGCAAAAAGCAGGAATCGCGTTACCATCAAGAAAGATGAAGCAGGGGAGCTCTGGTGGCCTAGTGGCAAGGAGCTGCAACTACAATCCCAGAGGCGCACGGTTCGAATCCACCAGATGCTCTGCCGGGGAAGGCGGGACAATCTCCTCCTGTACCAGTCAGATCTGATTTGACGGTACATGCACACAAAAATAAAAAAAAATTTAAAAAATAAAAAAATAAATAAATAAA